ATCCCTCTGTTACTGAGTTGATAGCCTGCGTTACCGTCTGAATGTTTAGACAGCTCGTCTCCGCAACGTCTAACATGGTCGACAATTGAGAAGATGACTCGATCGCTGGGACAATACTTTATTTGCCTGACGTTGCGATATCCGACACGGATAGTCGACAATGATATCACCAACTTCCTCTACCGCCCGACTAATTAACAAAGCTTGTCTCCCCTGTTGCGCTATGGCCGTCTGTTACGGTATCCTATCTTGAAAATGCTTAACTATTTGTACTTACATCTTTCTTTGAAGTGCTCGAAAGCGCTAGTGTCGGCAACCGCGCGGTGGCGTTTACAGCAGAGCAAGCTTGCGCAGAATTTCGCTTAAATTCTCCCCCTTCATGTCATGTTTCGATGGCAAGGAAAGGCCAAGAAGACATAAAGGGGGGCGTGATTGCAGCGACTGATCAAGGTAAACTGCTCCATCTGAAATTTGCACAGTTTTCAGGCACAAATGGAATGTATCTTACCTCTGATAAATGAAACCTTCGTGAGGATTGCAATACGAAGTTACAACACACGGACCGTCGTTTCACCGGATGATTAAGTAGGTTGAAAACCTTCCAAGCCACGCGTATTATCGCGCGCAGTAGTTTCGAGTGTCTGGTGATTACGGTGAAGGGTGCATTGAATTGTTATGAGCACGAGGACCTTAGTATCCACCCCACGTTCACATCTATCGCCAATTAATCGGTGGCCGTTTTTGATAGCGTTTGGCGCAGTAACTAATGTGACAAGAGTCCGTAGGAGTCTAAGCCGTGAGTGTGCTCAGAACACTACAATTATCACATCCACTTTCGTACAGGAAGAAGAGGGGTAAGACCAGTAGGAGTTGTTTATTGTGTAAAGGGAACCCGATAGTGGTCTGAATCCCAGGCGCGCAGCAGGCAACGGACCCTGCACTCGTGCGCGTCTGTTTGTGTGCTGCGGACGTAAGTGAATAAACGTCATGCGCGAGTGAGTCACTGGATGCTTGATCAACTACTTGGCCAATAGAAGTCTGCGGCACCTGTGATTGGCTGGCCCAGAAGGTGGTAGAGTAGCGAAGTCAAGTGCGCTTTGCGGGCTTGGCGCCAGCGCTACAAGTCTATATTTTAAGCTTATTTACCAAGTCCAGATACTAGTCAGGTTTTCCTGTTGATGTCGCACTGACTGTTATAGCCCGACGTGTAGATGGAAGAAGAGGACAGGTTTGGGAAGCAAACAGTTTATAATCAGTCAGTCAGTATCAGTCAGTATATTTGGAGTAAATGACCGAAGCCCT